TTGCAAATGCTTCTGCCTTGTCTGTTCTACTGATGTGTTGACTTCCCAAAAGATAAGGATAGATATTGGTGTTCAATTGACTGTCACAATTCATGACTGGATGCGAAGAATTATACATCTGATTTATTGGTTATGGGATCCCTTATCAATTTATCACTTCTGTAGTTCAGCATGTATGTAATTCTGTGTTGCAGCCTCCCCAAGTTGACACCTCATTTTTAAGTGTGCCCAGCACTGCTGCTGACATGACCTTCTGCACTCTGCGTTTGAACCAGTGTTGACCATCTGGCTTGATGGTAGAGGGGATATGGTGGGCCATGAGCTTACAGGTTGTGTTGGAGTACATTTCTGCAGTTTATGGCCCGTGGCATCTCATAGGTGTCCAGTTTTCAGTTTAAAAAAAATTAGTCTATTCCATTCAGTAGTGTGATAAAGCCACGTAACATGGAGGGTTTTCTCAGTGTGAAAATGAGTGTCCAAGAGGACTCTGTAGTCATTCCTAATGATACTGTCATGGTTGGATGCATCTATGATAGGTAGATTGAGGATGTGGTCAAGGAGATTCTTTCCATTGGTTTTATGACAGCCTGCCACAGACTTAGTCCAGCAGCTTAGGACTTGGCCCTGCTACCCAACCACTCTTGATCATAGTCATTGAAGTCCCCTTCGCTTGTTTGGTTCTGTTCCCTTGCCATCCTCACTGCTTCCTTCAAATAGTGTTCAGCAAAGGAGAACTGATTTGTTAGCCGTGGGAGAGCGGTACGTGGTAATCAGTAGGGTTCCTTTCCTATGTTTCTCCTTCTACTCTGAGACTTCACGGAGTCTGCAGTATTTGTTGAGGACTCCCAGGGCAGCTCCTTCCTGAATGAATACCACCTCTGCCGGGTCTGACCTGCCTGTTTATCTCCTTGTGGTCAATATTTATTTATGCTCTGGTGAAATGCTTTGATGTACGATGTTAAAGTTGTTAAATAAAGGCAAGCTGTTGATGGGTTACCATACCACAACATTACCTTTCCCTACTTCTTATTTTGTTTCATTCTTGAGATATTGGCATTGTTGGAATGATTGGTGTTTATTGCTTGTTCACAGCTGTCTGCAGAAGATGGCGTTGAGTCATTCATCCTCTTGGACTATTGCGTCATTAGCAATTTGATGCAGCTTACTCAGTGTCTGTCTGTCTGGGCTGCTTCAGTGTTTCAAATTGTGAACCATTTGGCTTTGTTTGACAACCTGACAAAATTGTTGTGCTTTTTTTTTTATTATTCATCTCTGTTTTGTTTCCAGATTTATACAAACTGCAAACAATTTCTCAAACTGCCAAGGTTGGATCTGAGTTTGTGTTCCTTGAATTGTTCATCTGTATTTTTGTCTCTGATCATTGCGCTGCCCTCAATCTCCTCCAGGCCTGGGAATTTCATTGGAATCAGCATCCACAACTTGATGGGAGAATGAGTTCCAGTTTTCACTACCGTTTCTGTTGAAAATGTGTTTCCTAAATTCATTTGTAAAAGGCGTAGAGCTAACTGTAAGGTTGCTTTAACAAGGTGTAGAGCTGGTTGAACACAGCAGGCCAAGCAGCATCAGAGGAGCAGGAAAGCTGACATTTCGGGTCTAGACCCTTTCCCTTTTTCTGAATTCTCACCATCTTAGGAAATCATTTCCCTCTATATATTGGTCTTTGCGAGGTCCTCAAACATCTTCCGCTGATGCTGACTAATTGTTCAAACGTGATTTCTGTTTCCAACTTTGGGGGCCACTGAGCTCAGTTGCAGTGTCTCCTGATGTTTTCTCAGTTGGTGTCAATCAACTCAGCACAGAGGCTGGTGTGATGAAAGAACATAAGATATAGGAGCAGAATTAGACCATTTGACCTATTGAGTCTGTCCTGCCATTCAATCATGGCTGAAAGGGATGTGATTTATACATCTTATTTGAGTTTGGACTTTAAACCAGTGGCATATGGATTTCAGTCTGTTTTTTGCAAAATAGTTTAAAATTAATTCAGTCAGTCTTTTCCAGAGCCATGCTTTTAAACCAGAAACTGTCAGAGTAGTTGATTGCAAGGATCCCTGGAGAGTTAATGGTAGTTTGTTTATACTTTGACGAGAGCAAAAGCCATTAATCCATTAGCTATAACAGAGTCGAAGGTGAGAAAGCTCTTTTTTAAAAAAAAAAGTTCAAAAACATTTTGGTGTAGCTCATGAAAAGGACTTGGCTGCCAGACCTGCTGAGCTTTTCCAGCAATTTCTGTTTTTGTTTCTGATTTCCAGCATCCACAGTTTTTGTTTTTGGTTTTTATACTTGACTAGGGTCAGATGCAAGTATTGTCTTGCCTTGAAGGCAATTGTTTAGAGCAGTTAAGGCAAGAAGTTACCTCTGTAGGGTTTCAGTCTGAAAACGTCCAGAGCAGGATTATTTAGTGAGAAAGCTGAAAAGGTCTGAGATATCAGTTGTCTGAGCATTAAAAGAAAAGGCTTCACAGCTCAAGACCAGAAATGAGAAGTAATTAAGGCCAACCTGCAGATTGGCCATGGATAGAAAAAGTATCTGGTCTTTAGTTGTG